ATAAATCGCTAGTTATCTCAGTTCAAGGGAAATGTATGTTGTACTTTAGCTAAAGTGAACTAGCCTGCGAACGGCAGACGTTTCTCCTCGCTCATCGTCGCTCAGCGGCGATGAGCCAGGAGAAACGTCTGCCGTTCGCAGGCTAAAGGTGAACAAAACGAAAAACAAACACATTATGGGACTTGACTAAGCGCTTAGCACTGAAAAGTATAAGCGCTATATAAATATTTTATTATTATTATTATTATTATTATTATTAGTTTCAAATAAACGTAATTTCCAGCCTGGCTCCAGATGTCCATTCTCACCACGAAGGATAAGAAAATCCTTCATTTCGGCCTTTAAAAAGGCCCAAAAGGACTAACAGAAGAATATTATGGCTGTGAGGAAGTCGAGAAAACGTTCTGGGTTTGTCATTTATTCAAACAGTGCATTAGCCTGCGTGGCAGGCGTTAAAAGGGGAAGGGGAAGGGGGAATTTGAGCGCGCGAGAGCGCGTGCATGGGGTCTGCAGATTCGTCCGGCTGTTTGCTATGCACAGTTTCCATTTTTAATAATCTAAAGAGGGGACTTGTTTTATTCATAAACCGTTAATATCACGACAGCTTTCATAAAAGAGACTTTCTGCATGATAAAGGTTTTGTCTCTAAATGCACAGGGACGGTCATAAACCGAAATAATATACGCTAATTGCTTCAATATATTTTCTCAAAACTCCCGTTAATCTGCAAGAAAGTTTAAATAATAAACTTCCCTGAAACTTGTCAAACAAACCTTTTATTAAAACGTTCTGTTTAATTGTCGACTGTATTTCAACAAGACAATTTTGAGTTCAGAAAACTTGTTTTCAATTAAGAATTTATTAACGTTTGGTTAACAGCTGTCTTCCGCGAAGATCAAGTTTGATCTCGATATTCATGCAACTGTTAGGATATATTCCCTTTTAGTAAAAATAATAATAATAATACTGTGAAAGGTTTGAACCCATCAACTGACGTGATACAACTCACTTTGACTCTGAAGATGACTACCGCACAGGTTGTCGAAACGTCAGTCACTGTCAACAACAACAGTCCTATTCAGGACTACGTTCACCCGGACGATCAAACTCAACCTACTTTTGAAATAATAATAATAATAATAATAATAATAATAATAATAAATTATTCAGACAGTGAATTATTATTTTTAAATAGTTTTTATTTTTTTTTTATCAACTTTTTGATCCTTTTTATAATTATTAGTAGTCTTTAGATAGTCATTTTACAACAATTCTCTTTCGTAGACAAGAAAAATGTACATAGGGTATATATTTTAATATTTCATATTCTTGAATCTGTAAATAGTCTATTTTTTTTTTTAAATCTATGAATAAAGTTTTGTTTTTATTATTAAATAATAATAATAATAATAATAATAATAATAATAATTTAAAATAACTCCTCCTAATTTTACAAACACGTGATAACGGGAAATATAACCGTTTAGTAATAGTTGACACTACAGCTTCCCTCGCTCTCGATTTTGTCGGTCGTTGTAGCCCTGGTTTTTGTGTAAGCTCTTTGAAATATACCGCGAATTCGTATTGGAGATTTTAACTCATTAAACCTACAATAGGTGAAATAAAAGCAGGAAACGCAAGATTCCATGCACTGAGTCAGGCCGATCATTACGCAGCGTTGATTTTCTATTTTATATCATCCTGACCATTTCTTACTTGCGGTATTTCAGCATTGTTTAGGGCTAAAACGTCATTACCCAACGGCCCTGTTTAAACAAATCGACATTTTTTCTGGTGTACTTACTGCATATTGTAACTGTAAGTACTTTCCTATGTATACGCGCGAGCTACTAGGATGCGTAGTATCAGGGCGGATTCTTGCGTAATATTCTTCTCATTTCAAATTTAATCAAAAGCACCCAACAAGTGCATGTGTTACGCCCATAAACTTTTTTTTTGGAAGGAGAGAACTCACTAGACGTTTTGAATTTAAAAAACGGCCTTAAATCAAAAGGTCCATATTAAACAGTGAAACAAAAATTGCCAGAAAGAGTTTCACTCTGTTTGATATCTCTTAAAATATTATTAAAAACATGTCAAATAAGAAAGATCCCGCACTAAATTGAAGTTAGGTAAAATGTTACTTTGAAATTCTTCTCATATCTTACTATGCTGCTCGTACTCCAGCTAAACACAACGCACAATCCAACGTACAATAACAAAAACTAAAACATGATGAATAATATTTTTAAATTTCTTTCGGGAGATATTTATAAACCGAGAAGACTTCAACGTTTACGGCCGTTTTGGCAGATGTTAAGAAATTCAATGCAAATGGTGGCTAGATGCATTAAAGGCAATTAGAGTTGATAAATAAAACTGAAACTGAAGGAAAGTTAAAAATAACGAGTAGGCTTTAATTTTGCTGGATGTTGTTGTCAACTTGGAAAATTAATTTACACGACAACTGATAACAGAACGTGTCAAAATGAACTGAGTGGGTTGCTAGTTCGTGACGTCTCAACTTTAAATTAAGACGAGGATCGAGAAGGGTGGCATTCTGGCAAGCTCTGGCAAATTCATCCGGCATGGGTGTTTGTTGCTTATCTGTTCAAGCACTCTTCTTGGCCTGTGTTCTCTCATGGGGAGCTTGGCTAAGCTCCATTGATAGTGCAAATCAAGGTATGACTAAAGCCAACACACCTTATAAATTCATCTTCAATCTTGTTTTGCTACTAAGTGTAATATTATCAGAAAAGCTTTTAAAAAGGGTTTTTTTTCAATTTTTTTCGTACACAAGGCCTTACTACTTTACCAAACTTACAGCCTACTTTTTAATGTGTGCGTTTTTGTGTGTCTTTGGTAGTTATAACAACTTTGACATCGAGTTACCTTTCCGCATGGCCCAGCCACTCAGCGCGGTTAGCTTTTTCTATTTCTGGGTGGCTGTTCTCTCTTTCTTTCACAATTATTTCCTTTTAATGACTCTACACTTTTGTATCAAGAGCATAATAAAGATAGTTGTTGTTGTTGTAACCTTCGCTGCCTCCCATTATGAGAAAGTTGAAATTCAAGCTTTGCGACTGAATCCCGCCTCTAACATGGGAGTACACAGTCTATTCTAAGCAAAACGAACCAGTCAGGTGCCGTGCGTTTTGGCTGAAGTTGTAGATAATTTTGGCTGTAGTTGTAGATATTGCAGGTCTTACGAGTTGTATATACGCGGGGAAGAAGAATTTTTTACTATCCCCACGGTTTTTGCTCTAGAGGGCTCCATGTAGAAAAAATTGAGTACTCCTTTTGTTCCTATATGGGACCAAATCAAGAGAGAATAATGGACCAAATGGCCAGCCTGCTCAGTGTTAGACCCCAAGTGAGTTTTATAAAAACAGGTACATACGAAGGTATTGGCCAGCGACTAATTAAATTTTGTGTTTATGTTTCTGTTGTGGTTCGACGGTTTGCCACTGATAACGTTTGTTTATTTACAGTTTACAAACATTTTGAATCTTTCCAGGCCTCGTTTGATTAAGTTGGCCAAAATATGGAAGCCACTATTACTTCTCTAAGATTGCACGTTAAACAAGGACGGTGTTGTGTCGACCTGTCATAAGATCTAAAAAGGAAAGCTTGAACTTTCCTGGTGTTCTCATTCGAATGATGTAGGATGGATGTTACGATTTGCGGAAATTAAATGCGTTTTAATAATGGCTCGTTTGTGTCTAGTGCGTTATCCTGTACTGGCAATGCTCTGTCCAGAGGCACATCCCCGTATAGTACCCCCGCCGGGTAACCATTTAGTGCAGGCCACCTAGTATAATAGCAAGGTTTTAAGAACACAGCATTTCGTAAGTCAGATAACTAATCAACATTAATTTAAAAAAAATAATCTCAAATCAAAAATGGCCGAATGCTTGGCTGATACTGCGTTATAGAGGTCTTGGATGGTCTATCATCATGGGCATATTTTGGTAGGCAGCGAAACCTCAAAATTTAGCTAGAGTAAAAGAACTTGTGGCAAAAAAAATGCTTTGTTGAAACTTACATAGAAGATGGAACTTGCTTTTTGTTATGTTAGCTGGGTCACACTTTGCGATGTCGCATTTTCTGATTATTATGAACGATTCTGTTTCATGTCGGTTCCGGCGCATTCGAAATTTCCACAAAATTAGTAGTCATTGTGGCACAATGACGTGTAGCAAATGATACGCAATGTTTTAAAGAACGTTTTAGTGCGATAATAATAGCAACAATGATGATGATGATAATTATTGTCCGATTATGACGATAATGATTGTATCACCGTGTTGTGCTCTGGGTTTGTGTTGTTTAGTTTTATGAAATATTACTATAGCGCTGACTTATTCATGGCAATAAGCACTAAAATCTTGTCATATCTCTGAACATATCATAGCAGGTAATGAAACCGGATTTCTTCATTGCCCGTGCTATACGCGTAAAACTTGAAAAATATTTTTCTTATACAATCACCTTTCGCCAGAAGGACACCTTACTTTTTTGAGCAATTAATCCGATACTACGGATAACAGATTTCAAATTCCCATTATTACGGACTCCTATCAGATGTTCTTGAGGTCGTCCGCATATAAAAAATTGTACTTGCCTACAAAGATCTTGAAGCCGGAAGACTGCAGTTGATGAGAACACTTTCCACCGCCCCCACTTGAAAAACTGAGAATGTTATTATTATTATTATTATTATTATTGTTGTTGCTGTTGTTGTTGTTGTTGTCGGTGATGATACTTATTATTGGGTTTACTTGTCCTCCGACCATCCATTTTAAGTTTATTACAAAGTGCGACAATTTTATTACAAAGTGCGATAGGAATTACAAAGTGCGACAGAACATACGATAGCCCAGGAACAAAACTCTTAAGGCCCTGTTACGAATTTTTAAGGCCGAGATCGATTGGGTACCTACGCTTTCTGTTGTACCGAATGTTTACCCTTTTGCTAATTTGCCTATTTTTCATTTTCGATTTATATTTCCGTTTTTCTTTCTTTTCTTTCAGTTGCTCCGCTGTCTGGGCGCGCCTTTTCAATCCAGTGTAAAATGGGATGGCAAGAATGGAACCAGGCCTGCTACAAGTTAAGCAGAGATTTTTTACCATTCTTCAACGCCTCATCCATTTGTAGGCAGAGTGGCGCTGAATTGGTGTCCATTACAAGTCTCCAAGAAAACGAATTCGTCCACAATGTGTCCGAAGGAGAGGACGTCTTCATTGGTCTCCGTGCTGCAAAAGCCAATGATAGCTTTGTCTGGTCGGATGGCAGCACTTTTGATTACACTAGGTGGGAAGACGGAGAACCGAACGGCGATTGTGCAGTAGACGGCTGTTGCGTTTTCCTCGTGGAAGCTACCGGCAGGTGGAAAGACACACCATGTGAGATGTGGCAGCGGTTTGTGTGTAAATTCACAAGCTCGCAACCCAAACTGCTGCCAGGTAATTGTCTAGTTTTTAACCTAGGGGGGACGAGTCCGTGTGTTGTGGGATTGTCAACATTAGATACAAATAGTCAGAAACAGCGCACCGAGCTTTGACAAAAAAAGCTTGGTGTTAATCAGGTCAATATTGAAGAAGATAGAGCCATTTTAGAACATGAAATTTACAAAGAAATGTATGGATTGCTGGAGTCCCATATTTGGAGATGTTGGATGGGTTTAAATATATCTCGTTCATTCTTAGCCCCATGAACACCCGTGCTTTAGGATTTTATTCGTGGCTCCCTGGTTAATAGAGTACTAAAGTGTGATATCATAAAAAATCAAATTTGTGAAATTACGGGATTTGTCGGGATATTCTCAAAGAACATAATCCAAGAGGCCTACTTGCCGAAAACTAGCATTGTGGGGCAAATTGTCTCTGAGATATTAGCTCAGATATTAGCTCTGATGACTCCTTATAAATCCTTCTAAATTTGACTTAGGTCTAAACTTTTAGACCCCTGCAGGATTTTAGAAGGACTTTTATGGAGTCATCAGAGCATAACTGGGCTAATATCTCAGAGCAGGAGCGCTAATTTTTGGCAAGTAGGCGTCTTGGACGTTGTTCTTTCAGAATATCTTGACAGATCTCATAATTTCACAAATTTAATTTTTATGACGTCTCACTTCAGAACACTATAGCGGAGCTTCACGCGCGAGCGTAGACCCACACCCAAGACAATATGGTAATCTACCCATCCGAGAAATTTTGGTAATCACGTGACCGTACCCCCGTCCGTCTAACCACAGGTATACCAATGTAAAATCACTCAACGAACAGGTATGGCAACCCAAATGCAACTCGAGGTTATTTTGGCCGGAAATCGCGTAGCCACCCACGTCTTGTGAAGCAGAGACAACTTAAGAGTCAATAAAGACGAAAACGGAAAGCGGAAATTGTTTCTGTATCCCTGTTATTTAAAGTATTAAGCTTAGATTAATTGTCATGTTGAAATATTTGGAATATAGAAAAAGAGAAAGTAGGCGGCAGGTAGCGAAGCTCAACGAGAAAACGAGCCGCAGGGAGCTAGAGCGAGAGATAAATAACAAAGGAGACTTTGTCTGTTGGAAGAACAACATGAAAATTTTGTAGCGGCGGTGAGAAAATGAGAAATGCTAGCTGTAATATAGGTGAAAATGAGCGGCAGTGAAAAAATAGTGAACAAGAACACGTACAACAGTTCCTCCATAAAACGTGTAACTAGGAAGTTTCTGGAGGTTTCACGTTTTAGTCGTGCAAAACAACGGCAAAGAAATGTACAAAAAAGTGTGCTGCACGTACAAAGTTGCTTTTTTTGCTAATCAGACCTGCTGTTGTTTTTCACCGTTCTCGTTGCCTTCGCCGTGTAGCGTTACACGATTTTATATTTTGTTTGAGCAAACAATAAATATTATCGACATCTATATATTAATCCCATAATATAGAGACTTGTACCCAGTTCCGCTCGGTTTGACAGCAGGCCAAAGGGTAAGTAACGTCGACGGCGACGTTAGCCTAAAGGACACTAACTTATTAAGATGTCTATAGCCTGCGTAGGCAGCAATCAATGAATAGGGATGAGCGCTTAGGTGTGACTGCTCTTTTAAGTAGAACAAATTATAGTGAATTTTCAAAAGTTATAGTGTATGCAAACTTATGTAAAAGAGGCGGGATGGATTGGTACTGGAGGTGAAGTTACGTCACACCCTAATTCATCAAACTCAGGAGTCCATAACCCTGAGCGAGCAACTGCTATGTACTCGTGTCATAGCGTTCTCACCGACCAGTTTATTTTAAGAACAAATTTGGCACGAATTCAGAATATAATTTTAGTCAGATAGACTAGTCAGCAAATCCCACAGACCTAAAAATGATATGTTTGACCTTTGACGGACGTTTAGTTTGCCGTTTTTATATCTTACACATGGAATGCGCTCATAGGTGGATCGGAGATTGCGTTTCCGCTGAAAAAAGCACTCTAAAATGTATATAAAAATAAAGCGGTCCCAGAAAACGCGGCGACAGAGTTGCTAGTAACTCCGGGTTGTGGGGTTTCCGTCAAACTCGAATCAAAAAGCCTTTCTTTTTCCTTTTCAGACAAAAATGCACTGAAAAAAGAACAGAACTTCATCATACACGAGCAGAAAAGTCTGGCACATCACGTGATCTACAAACAATCCTTGTCGTCTTTAATTCACTGTGCACTGATCTGCACCAACTCGCCATTTTGTAAATCGGTCAACTTCATATCAGAGCAAGGAGGAAATTTTGGCGAATGTCAACTCAATGACGCTACAGCAGAAGACTTTCCATTCCATCTGATGCAAATTTCTAATTCAGTGTATTCTGTTGTGTATAGCTCATGAGATAGAATAATGCTACTCGTGCAGCATTGTCTGCAAGGCAGGCGTCGGAAAGGGGGGGAGTGGGTGAGGGGAGAAGGGAATGGGAGGGAATGGGAGAGCTGAAGAGGGAACTGATGGTCGAGAAAGAAAGGGAAAGGCTCCCTCTCACTTTTCCCATTCGCGCTTTTCTCCCCTTGGCTTCCCCTTTTTGCGCTTGTCCCCGGGCTATTCCACCTGGACCTAAAAACGTTAGCATTATACTATGTTACAGATGAAGCCAGTTAATACGGACAGTAAGGGGGCTTCCCTCTTTGTCCGTATTAGCCAGGTTTCCGTATTGAGGGTGCTCTCAGGAAAACACATGTTTTATCGATGCGAAGACGAAAGCAGACGAGAAAACGTTTAATTTCTAACCCTGTAATTGTAATAAGTTCATTCTCAAGAAACCTCAAAGTCTGTTATTGATAGTCTGGGACTAAAACCTCCCAAAACCATTAGACTGCAAAACAGTCTGTATTTTTGCGTATCCAAGTACGCGCGAACAGTCAAACAAAAGGTCTGGAAAGAGGCTGAAAACAGAGAGCGAGACTGGAGAGAGACTCGCGTGCTTCGGGCGCGTGAGACTCTTAGGCTATTCTTTAGCGTTATGTTAAACCGATTTTGAGAAAAAAAACCCGACTGTTTTACAGTCTACACAACAATGGAATCCCTGACCTCACTTTCTACTGATGGTTTTAGATTGTGACTCAGTCAAGTCGACTAAATATTAGACCGAACCTTTGAATGTTTAATCGCCTTTTCTATTAGTTACTGTTAGATTTTCACTAGTAAGTTCTTCAGTAAAAGAAAGTGCTCAGATTAAGTGTTCACAAAACGGGTTTAACGATATATAGAAGTTGGTGATTTCGTATTTACCTGTGTGTGTATTAAGCGGATTAATTTTAAAGAAAATATAAGAGCTTTTGGTCGGGACAAACGAAAATGTCGGTTATATACAGGGGTCAGTAGTAAGTGGGTGTTTCTGGAGCGGGGTTCCATTGTATGAGTATTTTCTAATACTCAGGCCCAAGTTCAGACGCCACTCACAAGCTTGCCTTAAAGTGACTACCCATATACCGATGTTTTCCTAGACTCCAATTGGTCGAATGCCACAGTTAAGTTTGTTTCCTGAGATTCTTAATGTTTCCAGAGGCGGTCGCTGTACGTAACAGCGGTCGTCGGTCAACATTCGGGAATACCGTCACCGTCATAGATTTTGCAGCAATTTGGCGGGAAACAGTTTCATTGTTAGATGTCACGTGGCCACGAAGTAACCAATGAGAGCGCGCATTGTTGGGAAAAAATTTCCAGCTATATAGCAATTGATATATAATCCGCGATCTTTGAATTCAGTGTATTCCGCTGCATTTAACCTGAGTTAGCTAGAATGATGCGACTAGACAGCAAAATGAATAGGAGAGTTCTCGTCTGTGCCTTCAGCGTGGCTGGCGGTTTTGATGGGAGCCGGGAGCGAGGTACTTCCGGGGGGTTTGGTACGGAGAAACTGCCCCTGGCTCTGACCCTTGTCCTTTTCCATACCATTTTTAACATAACATGTATAACCCTTTCGTAAACCTTCTATTGACAACTGGTACCCCATTCACATACCTAGTTTAGAACTTTGCATCCCCTTTTAACTGCTATAAATGCACTGTCTTTTCAATACGAATAAATCACAAAACCAGAGCGTTTTTACGACTCTTTGACAGCCATAAAATGCATCTGTTAGCCCTTTTGGGTCTTTTTTTCTGTCTAAAAGCGTATAGCAAAGGGTAAGGGGTTGGACCTCGGGGCAAAGTCTCACTCGCATCGTATAACACTTTGATGAGTACCCCCGGTCCGAATTTGGTAGGGTTATGAACCGAATTGGACTCCTCCGAGTCCTCTGTATCGGCGCACTTGAAGGCATGGTAAGTCAGTATTGCAATAAAGCCTACAATTTTTATTTGCAAACCTATATTCAGCTTTTTTTGTTCAAGTCATTTCATGTCCACAGTTTCTAAAAATATAAACACTGTTTGCTCCATGGTTTTTCGCATGTGAAAAAAATCATGAGCGGTCACGCAAAAGAGGAAAAGAGACACAAAAGAGTTTAGAATTTAAATAGTCGACACTCTTTGCCAGAGTCTCTTTGGCAAACCTTTCCTAAGCTTCTGGCTCGTACTCGTTACAAACAGCATTATGAAGACCCCGTTCGAAGTGCAGTTCACACGATACTGGACGAATTTTCACTTTTTCGTTTACCGCTCCACTACATGTTAGAGCCGATTTTCGTATGAACTTGAAATGAAAATGCACGAACAAAACAGAAACAACAAACGAACGGAAATAGAGCGATTTCATTGGTTTGTCGAACGGATACAAACTCGCGTGGCTTATGGTTGGTTAAGTGAGCGCTCCAGTGAAAAAATTTCATGCCCGAGAACTTTCTAGAAATCAATCGATACTTCGATTTTTTACGTCGATTGGCTCGAACAATGCGAATGGCTTTGGGGGAAAACGAAGAGTCCATGTTTTGACCTTTTCATCTATTGGCTGATAAACCGACGAGCACTTACCGAAACCATTTTTCAAGGTCATAGAAAAGTCGCCCTACCAAAAAGGAATAACAAGTATATGTATATGTGTATATGTATATAGTCTCAAAGTCTTAGCTATATAGTGGCATACCACCATTAAAGCAACTTTAAGCGAGTATCCCCCAGAACGATTCGTCAAGTCAGATTTAACCATTTCATATATACTGATAGGACGAAAGCTTTTTCCCTGGCAGGGAAAACCGGAAATTACTTGTCTAAAATCCTGGATTCCTTGTGGTTGGTTCACGTCAGTATGATTTTCTGATTGATTGTTACAGTCAAACCCGCCATGTGCGATAATCCGCTCGTAAGCGACTACCTCCCATAAGTAGCCTGTTCCAGCCTCTCAGATAGTAGGGATGCAGATGACGCTTCCTTGAAGGCATGCGAAAATATAAGTACGTGATCTGGGGAAATGGGGCGATGGCGGGAAAAAGGAAGAGAAAGAAAAGGGCCCTTCCTCTCCCCAGTTTCCTCCCGTTTTGTTTTCGAGTTCGAGCTTTCTCAATTTGACGTACGCGAATATCTTTGCTGGGCCCGAGCCACCCGACCGTCTCGGAGCCGGAACAGGTTACTCATAAGCGAACGCCTGTACAAAATACCAAAATGTTCCAAGTCAAAGCTTTGCAGCTTAGAACCTCTTGTAAACGACCACCTTCTCTAAGCGACCGCGACCAAGTTTTGGGGCTGACAGTTTAATAATTTTCCTTTGTTTTTAACAACAACAACTTTATTTGCATTTCTTTTATCTTTTTAAGTTACACCGTGTATATATTATTATAATACATATTTACGTTTTTGAGTTAATTTCTAAGATAACAAAAAAATAAGTGTTAATGAAGGAGATGTCCAGAGCCTAAATGAACCGCGAGGTTTTCGAGTTAGTCTCTAGACATATAACCTTTTCTAAGAGACCACTTGACGCAAATTTTGACCTCAAAGTTTGCTATTTATCCTACGGTACTCAGATTATACAAAAAAAACCTTTAATGAACACTTGAAACGACACATTTTGTAAACTAGAAATTGCATGCAATAATTTATTTTCCATAAAATAGATGTGTCCGGACCTCTCGGAAGACACCCCTTATCGTACGATTCAATAGCTGATCCAGACCTTCAGATAAGGAAGCGGGGGCCGGCCGGTCATCCACGCCCTGAGATCCAGGGGGCGGTCTCCAAAAGAAATTTTTTCCGCCCTTCGGGCCTCAGTTTGGCCTCAAAATAAGGGGAGGCCCGCCCCCCCTGGATCCGCCACTCCCACTCTTGCAAACGACCACCTCCTGTAAGCAACCACTAAGATATTCCCATTTTGGATGGTCGCTTATGGGACGTACGCTCGACTGTAAATACATTATCAAGGACTGAGGATGGTGGATTGGTGAATGCATGGCTCCCCTTATGGTTTGTTACCTATCATTATCCTAAATCCTCTATTAACCCCCCTCTCTAATTATTCCCCCTCCCCTTTTTATAGGAAGAAAGTTATTAGGTCCACCTCTGTTTTAAGACTCCCTTCTCCAATTCAGTCTTCACAACTAAATTAATAGGCTGATTTAGCAACCGAACGGGAGCGTCAGTTGACGACGGCGCGCGCAAATCAAGCAACTGGCTTGACCAATGGCAGAGCGACAAAATTGGGCACCGGAAGTCGAGTTTAGTCGTTTTCGCGCGCTTTCCCGTCGTCAAATAACGTTTCACGTTCAGTTGCTAAATCAGCCTGGAGCCCATAGCCTGATCAGCCTGATAGTCTCCTCCGCAGCCTCTTTTCTACGCAGGGATCACCAGTGATTTCAAAATGGATATAATAAAGAAAATAATGCAATTTATTTCAACTCAGGACCTGCTGATGGGGAAACAAATCGATCGATCGAGATTAAAATATTAACACAGGCCTACTGCAAGCAGTCGTCAATCTGCCAAGACCTTCTTTGTACAATTACTATTCATCATTGATTCATGATAAACAAGTAGTTTTTAAAGTAGAGAATGTTTACAATTCGATATCATCAGAAGAAACTTAACTGAAATAACCTCAAATAATACAGCTATGTTCCCGTCACGTCGTTTGGAAAGTTTGTTCAATATAACTGTGTTTAACAAGAACCTAAATATTATAACACCTTAAACACCGACATTGCCTTCTCTCTCCCACCTAGCCTGCGAACAGCAGACGCATTTCTGGTCGACCGAAAATGCGTCTGCTGTTCGCAGCTATCCCCCACCCCCTCCAGGAGGAAACAGGAAACAGCTTCAATGTCTAAATATAGTCTTATAATAAATAACGAACCTGGATAGCAAATAGCGTGACATGGCCCGTTTAAGCGTCTTCTGCATCTTACTGCTAAGCTCGATTTAGCCCGCGAGCAAGCTCTCCTATTTTGGCAAGCGAAGTGAGCCTCGCGAGAACGCGCGAGCGAGGGGCTGAGGAAAGGATCCTTTCCTCTGCTCCTCGCCGCTCGCTCGCGCGTTCTCGCGAGACCCTCGTCATTCGCCCAAATAGGAGAGCTTGCTCGCAGGCTAAGCTCTATTACCAGCCGCTGTTAGGAAAATGTGCCCGCGCTACTCGTCCGAACGAGACAGCGGTGGAAATTGAGCCTAGCTAGGGTTTCTGCCAGTCTCGTACCCAGTTGCTATATTCTGTGTCTTTGGGATGAGAGGAGTGAGAGAAGACTGTGGCTAGGTTGCGGTGCGTTGGGTCGACTGGATACATTAGAGATGATTGCGTGCGTGTGATGAAATTGTATCATTACACTAATAATACGTTCAGGTACTTTAAGAAACCCTCGTCAATAAAAGCTTTTCAGCAAAAAAAAAAATTAATGCTTCGTCATGTTATATAGATTGTGTCAATTTTTTACAAGAAGAGCGACCTGACAACGCTGTCGATCTTGTCTTTGTGGTTTTCTTATTGTAGCGGTTCACTTTTCTTTGTTCAAAAGCAGGATTTTGGGGTCGCCATTTTAAACAAAGTTCTGAGCTGTCCTGCCATTTGCATCTCCATCTATACTAGACATAAATTCTTAAACTTATTCTTTATCGGATATGGTCCTGATGTTTGTTTTGCTGTTGAACTGTATGTATAGTAATACTCACCCGAAAAAATGTATACTAATTTGTCATTTTCCTCATTATAGAAAATGCTGTCTATTTTGAGAGGGAAGTCGGGGAAAACCGTGCTAATTGATTTAGGCCATCCATATGGAATAAGGTTATAGTACTGTTTATCAACCCGAAACACCTCCGATCCTCTAAAAATATATAAATATCCATCGTCAAATTCAGATACAGCAAGGACAGTAGGCCCTGACTGTGGGGAATAATAACTGGTAGAAAATTGAAATTGACTGAAGATATATTTGGGATATCCAGGATCAATACCGTTATTTAGCTGGTTTGTTCTGTAAACATAGTCACCAGCGACAAAGTATGTATTCCCTCTCCATTCAAACATAGAATCGATTTTCGCTGGGAGACCACTCCATTTTCTAGAAATTTTTCTCGGGTAACCTCGCTCACTCTCGTCTTTACGGTGATTGTAACGCCACATGACGTCATGTTTGAAAAAGTACGTTTGAGATTGTGAAACACCAGCTGCCTGCAGGTACTTGGGCTCACATTGACCTGCAAAGAATGGTGATATATAGATTTATCCAAGGCTAAAGGCGAAGCTCCCGCTGATAAATTTATCATTTACTTCAGACAATAAACTTGTAACCAGTGCAAATAAATCGACTAAGAGTTGAGCCCGCGATAAGGTCATGTAATACTGGTCAGTAGATACCCTGTTTTGACAGCTGTCTATTGACCACAACATGGATGTGCATCATCAGGTTGCAGCCTGCCAAACAAGCTAAAAAGTGTGAGATTTCACATTGGTTTCCTATGGCGAGGACGGACGGGTGGATGGGGGAACGTGCGGTCACGCGACTACAATAATTTCGCGAGCGTGGAGTGATATATAGTGGTAAACTTGTTACAGTGAAAAAAAAAAAAAAAAAAAGCGCGTATAAGAACTGCGATTAAGAACTTTCTGGCAGAGATTTGCGACTTTAATACCCAAAACTAAAGCAAAAGAACCTGCTTAGCCAAGTTCTTATATGTGGGTTACAGTTATATTATGATAAACACGTAATTTATGTAATTTAGCTTGTTAATTTAAGTATAACTAAAATATATAGTACCAAACTGTATATAAATTCTGTTATTAGTTTTGTTAGGGTTATAACAGTAAAGTTGAGAATATATCTTGTATTTTTAACCCACGTTTATTTATTTTTCTGTCAGTCAAAAATCAATGTGTATCTCCTTCACAGAAATTAAAAGCCTTATCAAGTACCTACTTAGCCTTAATCACAATATTTGTATAGGTAATAACATGATTTGTAGTGATATTTGACATAAATACCAAGAGTGATATTTTAAAATTGTTACACTTAATTTCACGAGCCGATACGCGAGTGAAATTTGAGACAATTTTGAAATTTCACGAGTGGTATTTATGCCAAATATCACGTACAAAATCATGCTATTATTTGCTTATACTACTACCCGCAAAAGTTTTGTAATTTTCACATGTAGGTATTTCAAATTAAGCTGAAATATCAATGCTCTAAGCCAATCAAATTGCAGAAATCTCTCATGTAGTAGTATAAGCGTCAAAATACAAGAACCTGTTTTGTCAGAGTTCAGAAAAGTATTACTGTAATATCAGACGCTGAAAGGGTCTCTGAATATGACAAAGCTTTTTTGGACGACACAAAACACACGATAAGGAATTATCTCTCTCTTTCCGCTACGCTTGGGTACCGTTCCTGAACTGGAATAATCGCGAAAGGTTTGAGGAAAGGCGAAGTCATTTTTACGAGTTACGACGCAAGCATCCTACCTAGACCACGACAAGCTAAGAGCATGGAAAAGAGTACTACTTAACAAAGGGAAAGACAATAACTAATAGCTCAGTAAAGCTGAGCTAGGAGGAAAGGGTGACCGTGACCGCTTCATATAGTTCCATTATAAGTCTTTGATAAGTGACCCCTTAAAAGAGGGTGATAGCTGATTATAAAACTTAACGGCACAGTAACAACGTTAGATATCATTTTTCGACATAACTGGCCAGCGGAATAAACAAAGGATGTAGAGACCAGTACACCCACATAATCGTTCTTCGTCGACCATTTCTGGTATAATTGGAATTTGGAAATGTTCATGGTTTTTGAGAAGAGGGATAAAGACTGGCTTAAACTCAACAAACGCATGGCGTCGACGCCGGAATTTGAACCCAGGCCACACCGAGCATTCGCCTTCCACCAGTGAGGCGGATGCCCTCACCATCGCGCCAAACCCGCTCCCTGCAATACTGCAAATGAATAAAGGCAAGAGAGAATAATGGACACAGAGGGAATCTTAGGGCGTTGGTCGGGATATGTGAATTTCAATTGAAATATGTCGAGAGGTTCCTGAGACGTCCGCCCATTTTAATCGCTTATTTAAAACGTCATCAAGTCCAGGCGCGATTGCCTTAAAGCAATCAGTGGAGAATACTGTTGAATTCGCTCTTGACAAAACTGAACATATTTGCGGACCTCACTGGAAACCAACTTTTAATCGTTTAATTGGTCTAAAAATAACATTGGTAAAATTCACATATTCCAAGGGTTGAACTGGGTAAAATATAGATAAAGTTAAAGACAATTGAACCCACCATACTTCTGCTGGATACCAGCCACATCGTCGTCATCGAGCTGAATGGACCTCTTGTCTTTATTGTACTTCTCATACATCACAGCGGTTGTGTTTGAAGAGTGCTTCAGTCCAAGAACATGCCCTACCTCATGCAATGCTACCGGTAAAAGGCTATATTTATTACTTGTCCCATCAGAAACGGTCCACTGTTCATCTCCATCAAAGTGAATAAAAGATGGCGAACTTATTTCGGGGTATGACGCGTGAGCGATTTTTCCTCCCGGGCCGTCGAAAGCACCTGCGTTGCAATTATGCCACTCTAAGAAGAAAGCCAACTGAAAATTAAACACAATCAGGAAATGGAATGGCGGTAGACTACGAGTAGTTCCCCATTTTTCCTCAGGGATAGTAGAGCGAGCAAAACGCGAGCGCGCGTGAAAATCACCCCACGCGAGAAAAGGCGACAGTACTCGTAGTCTAGAATGGCGGATCATTACACATACTGTACACCTTATCTGCTGACACTTGTCAAAGAGAACGGCTTAATTATCCTAGGCAGCAGAGGATTTATTTGCTTAAGAATGGCCGAAGCCGCGTCAACTTGAGCAAAATGGTAAACCACGCATGAAAAGTCTCTGACATTACACAAATAATATCATGGGTGACAAATTACTCCTTAAAGGCGCTGTTCACAACCAGGAGCGCATAACCCGGAGCGTGCAACTCCCATACTAGGCCAGTGTCAAGGCGTTTTTACAGACTAGTTTATTTTAAGACAGATTTAGGGCAATTCTTCCCTCGAAAATGGAATCTCCGCCACGTCTATGAACGCATTCAAAGAATTAGATATCAAAAAGTAAAAGGTAACGTCATTAAGAGGCACAAATTATCATTTTGAGGCCTGTAGGCTTTTTTTGACTGTTTTGTGAGACTTAAAAGATATTCTAAATTTGCGCCAAAACCGTTCTAAAAATAATCTGATCCGTAAAAACACCGTAACACGAGTACATGGACTACGAGTACACGTTTCATTCAGTTTGGTGGCAGTTCCCGCTGAACGAGTTCCAATAAATTTCGTGACACAGCGTCTTTTATTTTGACGCGAAATTTCAGCGATAATGTTTGATTTAACGTGCGAAATTACAAAATTGCCATGGCAACATTGCACAAGTCGCATCTGTTTCAAAGCGCGGTTAAGTGCGGACCAAAATGATTTTTTATTCTCATGCAAACAAAACTTATTTTCACAAGAAAGGTTTTGCACTCAGCCTCGTTTTGAAAGTGAGAGATTTTGGAACTCAGAAATGGCCTATCCTTACCAACCTCGTCCCCAGCCCTTTCAGCGCCCCTTCCATTTAAGGCTACGTCCGGACATTTTTGAATCCGCGTACTTTTTTTTTTTACACCAATTGTTCTTCCCACCATACGAAACCAGTGAATCTGGACAGCGCTCTCCAGGGCCATTTAAGGCCCGGTCCCCACGATAACCAGATAAAGAATACGCGGTTTCAAAAAATAACCGGATTCGTGTGCACATGGCCACAAGGGAGAAGGAGGAGCCCTGAGGCAAGATTGCCATTCTTAGTAGGACGATATTGTTACCTACTTGATTTAACACTGACTTCTATGTCTACTTTATTCCGAGGATCCTCATAGTGGAAAGTAAACCTGCTTACTTCAGCCCACATTCTGAAAGCCGTGGTCATAATATCTTTAAAGTCAGAGCTCGTTACGGAAGAGGGATGGCTTCCGGATGGGATAGTCCAAGTCAAATTAGTCCTGGACCACGTGTTCTTGTGCAATGCAAAACGCCGAGACCGGTGTTTTCTGTCGAGGCCGCCACGGTGATCTATTGTGTCCGAGGGTTTCTTAATGAATTGTTTAACTTCAGACTTAACGTCTATCGTTTCCAGTTTTTGAACCTAGAAAATGGATGGAGGAGAAAACGCTTGAAAAACGCAAGTTATTCTAATTTTATATATCGTGAATTACATATCATTACCCCTCGCCAGGTGACCGATGCGTGGGGTCGACTGGGTCAGTACGATACATTAGAGAGCGTACGTGTAATGAAATTACATTATTACACTAATGATACCTTCAGGTACTTTAAGAAACCCTTGTCAATAAAAGCTTTTCAGCAAGAAAAAAATTAGTGCTTTGTCATGCCCGCATATAAATTGTCTCATTCGTTTTTGCAACAAGAGCGACCTGACAAAACTGTCGATCTTGTCTTTGTGGTTTTTTTATTGTAGAGGTTCACTTTTCTTTGTTAAATACCGAGTGGCACTAAATTTTTGCGGGGTCTAATTTTTGCGATTTTTCCAGCCATCCGCAAAAGTAAGTTCCCGCAAATAAAAATTACCGCAAACATTTTTCCTGCAAAAATGGACTCCAGAGTAAATATTCTTTAACTTAAATTCGCCACACAAAAATGCAGTACTAAGAAATCGTGTCTGTTCAATTACAACTTGCCTCTTTCGTTCAGAAACAAAACGGTATACAATGAAATACTGGTTTTACATAGGGTACGTACACCGTGGTATTGTTTGAAAATATTATTTTTAGTATTCACCAAATCAGTGGATAGCGATTTTCGCGCATTCTGATTGGCTCCCCGTAACTCGGAATATCCTTGGATATTCACTGTTTTGAGACGGGATTCAAAATGGCTTCTCGTTTCGCGACAGTTTCCAAAGATGAAATTTTAGCGGTAAATGAAGCAGCTGTACCAGCAAATACAAAGAAAGAGACAAAATTTGGCTTGTCGGCGTTTACTGGTCGGTAGAAAAAAATTTTCTCACTGAATATGCAACAAAATCATAACAAATGTTACCCAAAACATACTAATAAACATTATCTCTTTTATAACTTTCTGAGCTATTTTGTCATTTTTCCTTTACTTTTTTATTAATAATCTCAAGTCCTTTGTTATACATAACTTTAAGGGGCACAATATTAGTTTATCTACAATCATGGTCAAAAGTGTCGGGAAGGTTGCCCTTTTTACCTCTTCTTTTCCTTCCTCCCCCCGCCCCTGGCCCAATGTTGATTAAAACGTTAATGTTTGTATGCGTAATTGTTCTGTTATATCTCAACATTGAATAAGGGGGGAAGGGGGATATTTAGCAAAAGAGAAAACTCTCTTTTTTCAGGGTCAAAATGGACTACTGTTAAGTTGTACAACCTTCCCAACTACTTTTGTCTGTGACTGTAGATGTGCCCCTCTCCTCTCCTTCCAATATACAATGTAATTCAATTTAAGTGTTGTAATTTCTGTTTTACGCGTTTTTTTCCTTTGTAAATCTTTATCTCTTACTATATTACTTTTTTCACCTTACATTTACATAACTATGTATCAGCTAGAAATTGGAGGAATAAATGAAATAAAAAATAAAAAACACTGTCAATTGCAACGTAAACAAACTCTATCTAAGTGACGTCTTTTATTTACAAAAAGTTCCTTTTTGATTTTTATCCAACTGATTTGGTAAATACTAAAACGACTATCTCCCTCAGGGTCGGTTCATAGGGCTAGATATATACCGAGACGCGAACCACCACTATTCACCTCCCCTTCGGGGGCTAGTTGTATACTATTGCACGTACTCAATGAAAAGGAAAATATTATCAATGCTGGGTACTGGGTACTTTCTGAAAATCGCAAAAATTAATTCCCAGCAAGAAAAACCAATCTGTCCTAATCGTAAAAATTAGTTCCCACAAAACACGAAAAATCGCCAATCCGCAAAAATAAAGTCTCGCAAAATTTCGTGCCACACGGTAAGCAGGATTTGAAGGTCGCCATTTTTATTAAATTTCTATCATCTCCATCTCCATCTCAACTAGACATAAATTCTTAAACTTATCGCCGATCAATTTTGCCCCTGATATGTATTTTGTTGTTGAATTGTAACTATGGTAATACTCACCAGCAAAAATGTATACATATTTATCAGTTGTTAAAGAAAACGCTGTTGACTATGACCTAATTTAGAACTGTACATGCAGCTGAATAAATCGCAAAACTAGAACGTCATAATTTCTGGACTTTTTCACAGCCATACAATGCGTCTGCAAGTCCTCTTGGGACGTTTTATAAACCGAAATGATGGATTTCCCGGATCAAGTTTAGGTTTCTGGGAAACTGCCCACCTACCCCTCCCCTCAGCTAACATTAACACTTTAGGGCAAAATGTTGGCTTAGGGGAGGGGTAGGTGGTCAGTTAACCAAGAGACCTAAATTGATCCGATTTGCCTACCTTTAAATTACTTCAAATTGTAAAATTTCTACCCTTTCATGTACCGGTAATACGAACAGAGTGTGCATCGTAGTATCGTATCCACTTCAAAAAAAGTACTAAGAATATGACGTATAGTATTAACGTGGTCTTTCTCTGTGCGCATCCGCGCCGAGAGATATCATGTGGGCAAAACGTGATAAAAGCAGTTTAAAAAAATGACTGTGTAGATAAATATAGGCACGTTTAACGTGCGTGAGCTATTTTGAATGCTTCAGTGTAACCGTATCAACAACCTACTGTTTCAGTCCTAAATTAAGACTATTTTGGGCGAAATTGAGGATTGCTGTTCATTAATGAAAAAGCGAACCGCTGCGCACAGTTGAGCGGCAGGTATTTTGTACAGGTCACATTCCACAGGTCAGAATATGGGTCACCGTGCTACAGATAAAAAAACAAGACCAGAAATAGTCTGCTACACAGCCGTTTTTAGTGTCGTCACGCAGGAGCGTTGCGTGACGACACTAAAAACGGCTGGCTAGCCGACTAGACCAAAAGTGTCTCCTAGTCCTAATCCTTGTCCAAAACGGTTGTTTTTGATCGAGGTGAAATTACTTGGAACTGTAATCGTGACCTGTGGAATGTGACCGGTAAAAGAATCCCCTCCACAGCCTAGTCGATCCTCATACTATAGATTCACTTTTCTTTGTCTTTCCTTCTGACATCTGTTTCAAAATAAGTAAATTGTTAAAGTGCTATGAATATCAACTCACCAAACGTTGCTTAAAGGGAACACTCAAAGGTTTTAAGGTTTCTTCATGGTTTCTTAAGATAATGAATCTCGTCGAATACCGAATAGCTTTAAGATATGTCACAATTTTCATCATTGGCACATGAAGGTGTTGGACTTTGCCCCTTTTGTGGTTTGTAAGTCAGAGAATTCGAGTTATCAGACAGTGAGCGCTTACCATTTGAATGGAAAACCCGGAAATTCCGGGGAGAATTTAAATAGAACGGTTCATCCGGTTGGAAATTTTCCGGAAAAAAGTGATACTTTTCGAGGTATTACCTTTTTCCCGTTTTTATCGAAACGACCGAAATTTTCTGTACCATTTGCTTGGATTACCAGTGCCAGGCTTCATGTCGAGAGAAAGCGAAAAAGTTACCGGTATTTTGTAAATGGCACAACTCAATCCCGTTACTGTTTTCGGTGCCCAAAAAAATACCAGTACCATTTGACGGAAATTTTTGACCGAAATTTCCGTACAAATGGTAAGCGCTCAGTAATCCAACACAATATGCATGTGACAATGTTGGACTTTGTCCCTTTTACAATTCGTAAATAAAAGAACGCAAATTGTTTACAAGAAAATTTGTTTAAACGGTTTTCAGAAATCACTTCGGCTGTATCACATCTGCAATTAAATTACCTTAAATTCCAAAAATAAGCCCCTCCAAATATAAGCCCGCCCCCCGGGGGGGCTTGTACTTAGAAAATTGCCCTCAAATACAAAGTAAAACAAAGCAAAAACGGAAAATTTACTTCCAACTATAAGAATAGCCCAATCGATTTTGAAACACAAATTTCCCTCCGTAGATAAGCCCCTCCGAATATAGGCCCCTCCAAAAATAAGCCCTCAAAAAGGGTCTTTGAAAAATATAAGCCCCGGGGCTTATTTTCAGAATTTTACGGTATGCTTCCGACAACGTTAAGGACAGCCTAACATTTATTTCCTTCCAAGAAAATTATCAAACTGCCGAAATATATTTCTACTCATATCATGTTATTCCACTCAATAAAACAATGTCTAATTATTTTGTCAACTAGCTCCTTCCCATTTTATTCCCTAATGCTACTGTTTCTACTTTCTACGCATCTTTACTAAATGTAAAATACATTTCAATAACTATAATGACTCTTAAGCAGCAAGCATGTATCACGTTTTTTTGCCGGAACGAAAAAGGTCTGTTGAACTTTGTAAGCGAGAGAATAAAGATTGTTTACTGGATTAACTTACTCGGTACAGCTTTCGAAAAAACATAAGCTGCCTTTTAAATTTCTTAAAAACAAAATTTATAGGCCGGATACTCCCTAATTTAATTTTACTTTGAAAAATATTTGAACTTTCATACTCTACCTTGAAGCAGGTGAAACATAACTTATAAATTGTGAAATACGTGCGATCTTACCCTTCGCGATAGCCGAATTAGGTCAGAAATGTCTTGAGGCAGCACCCACACTAAAATATGAACTTTTAAACGGCTGCATCGCTGTGCAAAGCGTTTGAATCCTGAAGATATTTCAGTGTTATGCTTCTAAACACCCTTAGCCATAATAAAAGGCGAAAAAATTATGAAGAATCAAGATGGAGGTCTCAAAGTGCCCTTGTTTGACCTTAAGCAATGTCATGTTTAGATGCCAAAATCTCATTGGTTCCTTGCATCAACTCATAGTACCTTCAACCTTATTGGCTCCTGCAACAAAAATCCGAACACACAAAGCCACAAAGCCACAGAGATACATACATACGCTCACACCACTGCCATAATAGCTCAATATTGAGGCGCTAAGTATCAGGCTCTTTGAAGCATGAACTGAACGCCTGGGCTTGACGGAGTACATGTATTAAACAGGGTATTCCACATGCAGCTTAAGATAATTGCACGCTTCCTAGCTCTCTTCAATATACCGTATAGACACGAGGTCTAACACTTACCAAAGATTGGTCAGGTCTCGTTATCTCAGAATGTCTCGAGAGAATAGCTCTCGCGTCAAATTCGCCAAAAAGCGTCGTCAGTATAAATGCAACTTGACAAAGTTGTAGTTCCATTCCGCAGTCGCTGGTCTGAACTTTGTATCTTCCAATAGCTGGTTGTCGTCGTGATCTAAATGAAACAACTACTGCCGTGAACTTTATACAGTTGCCTTGTTTGGGTGGTTTTATATTACATTTTATATTCCCAGAAGACGGATGTGTTTATTATCACTCAGCGGTCGGAAACAGGAAATATGGGGACGGCTCACTGTTGTGAAACAAAATATGTATATCTTGGTGTGAGGTCATCGAGGTTGACGATCCCCCTTGAGATTTCCAAAGAGTCCAGAACCTGCATTCATTTCCAATTTCATGATTCTTATTTCAAAGACATTGAGGGTGAAGACGGCGTCGACACGCTTCAAAGACAATGGCTACTTCTACTTCATGTCCGTTTATGTGGTTTTGATTCATATCGTTCCGTTTTGTTTATTTGTCATTGTATTAATCCATCTGAAGATGTGGAATCCGGATAGCGCACGACCTGTGTATTTTAGACCACCTTGCATGACAATGCATAAAAAAGCACGCATTAGTACGGCTTAAAAAAGTACGAAATCCTCTTGTAAATCTTCAATAATCTTTCATCCGAGTGATATTTTGCAAAGGGCACTTTGCAAGGTGCTTGGATACATGATTATACCAAAATGGCGCGAAATCGGCTTAAGCGAGGTTACAGTTTAGCGACGAACGCCAAATGTTTAAAATGAGCTTGAGGAAGAACACCTATCAACAGCTTTTTAAAATTACTTCCTAATTTTAAGTGTTCGGCATCCTTAAGGGTATCTTATATTTGCTTTCAAAAGTCACGACCTTATTTACATATCCGAATTTCCGCTAACGGGAGATTGCACAATTCAAATCCGCTATATGAAAATTCCTCACTTTTGAGTGAAATTATGATAAGATGGATCGGTTTCGTCATTATCGCTGTCATTCGTTAAATTTGGGAATTTCTTGATCTTGGAATTTGCTCCAGCTCTCGTGGCGCGAACGGAATACTTTCAACGCTCCATTAGTCGGAAATCTCTCGAAAAGTCCGGATTATGCGGGCACCATGATCTCACTCAACCAGTTGCCCTGAAGAAGGAGGGGGGGTCAAGCAGTGAGTCGTGTGTGTGTCGGTGGTGGTGGGGAGGTACTTCCGTACATAAGTAATATCGCTACGCGCATTCTTTATTTTTTAACCCCTTCAGTCGCTTGAGTCTGAAATAGGTAAGGTTTTGTACCCTCTGAAAATGTTTATGTTTTTTTAAAATCAGTTCTTATCTTATAACACGTTCAAACAGCTGATTAAGAAGTCTGAAAGGACACCTGACAAAGTTTTATCCACAGCTAGGTAGGCTCGAGCAGGATTCGCTCCGAGGACCAACTCCTTTCTAGTTTTATGTACCAAGAAGTTTGAAGAGAGAAAAACTGCTCTGGTTTTCGTATACCTTGCCTCGACAAATGATGGCCTTTCACGTACGTTAGAAAAAACACTGCACCCCTTTTGAATGCTGTAACTGACCTGCTGCTTTACTGATAATATGAACAAATCACTAAGTTTCCGCTGCCCTCTTTTTTCAAGACGCGTTAATTTTAAGTACTAAAATTTAGAGCTTCTTTAATTACCGAAATGACAGATTTCCCTACTTTTTCATGCCTCAACTCGTGAAATTCCGACTCTTTTCGTCTGAAAAAGTGCTCCTTTCGTGCATAGCCTTCCTATGCAGGACATCATAGGGTCTACCCCCAGGAATACAGCAGAGAAATTCACAAATTTCGGTCTGAAAGAGGGATTTCAGGAAGCGTGCAGCTTAATTTTACGGAAGGACCTCACAGAACTGGTCGAGACCTATAAAGTTAATATCATTTTTTTTCCATTCACGTCGACTCGGCAAATGAAACAAACTCGGAAAAACATGGCGTGGAAAGGGAAGGGAAAGGGCGGGAAGAGAGCCTTTTCGCTTTTCCCTCTCCCCACCTCGCTCGACCAAAGGCCTGTTCACAGGCTATTCGACAACTACGAACAAGTATTCACATGGTAAGAAAAGAGTTAGAAAATGTAGGTATTTTATATAAATGAGAAATTAGCATCTCGATTCGATTAAAACCATCTGTGTCATCTGACTTTTCCATTAGTTTTTTTCTTGTCACTTGCAACAAATGACGCATTCAGACTAGAAGCTTCTGTGGCTTTTCTGTGGCATGATTACCATCTTAGATCTTGAATTTCCTCCCGATCTATTCTAATGTGTTATTAGATCAAAGTTCTCCCAGAGAGGGCGGTGCCACTTCTCTCCACCCGAAAAAAAAAAACGAAAAAGGAGAGCGAATTTTGGTTCTTTGAGTATTTGAAAGACTCACTGACAAAAGCACAGAAAGTAAGAGCAGCAAATGCAAATGTATCAGAGTTCAGGGAAGGTAGCTCAAACAACGCTGAAAGTTTTATGCAGGTTTCTACCCCAGGGATAAGTCAAGTCTTTGTTTTCTCTCATAGCGTTTATTTGATCCCGTTTAGCATGAAAGGCTTTACTCAATTGCCTCAATGTAAAATGTCTATTATGATAAATACCATGTACGTTCTTCATACCAAACAACAGGTCAGTCGAACGTAGAAGTGAGGTGTTCCAATTGTCAGAGCAAATAAGAAAAGCTTTTGTAAAGGTATATAAACTGATTTTCTGTTACGTGAAGGAGGTGTTTGTCACCGGAAAGAAAACGAAGGAAGAGAACGTTATGGTGAACTATTTTTCCTGGAGAAAATCAAGACATTTTACCTCACTATTTGGAGTAATCTGCAGAGTAATGGCCACCAGTAATACTCCCCGCCGGCTTTATTTCTTCTGCACGAGATTAAAGCGCTCCTAAGACTCCTAAGCCAATTAGTAATAAGAATCTTATATGAAAAGGAAATAGTCAACATCCCAGAAATGTTTGTCAACACTTCATGGATAACGCGACGAACTAAAAAGGGACACCTCCCTAAAAATATCCCCTGTAGCTGGCTTCGGCCTTTCTTCAGACATTTTTTTTGACTATCTATACGGGTTACACTGAACACCGACAAATCCATGAAGCACATCTATTACCCATCCCAACTTGGATTTCAGTAGGGAACTTTAGCAACGAGGATCGACGACGACAGCAACGGGAACGTCCAAAAAAAAAAAAAAAAAGTTTCATAACGCAAAACAACAACTTTGCTCGTGATCACTCTTTTTCGTAAATTTCTTTGCCGTCACAGCGCGACAACGACGTAAAACGTCCCAGTTTCACGTTTTATGAAGTAAGTAATTAAGCGACGACGAATTTTTCTTTCTCTTTTTAAACCTGAGTTCGGTACCTAAAAATTAACCCCAAAGAAATTCGGTTGCATTTGACATTTTCAGCAAATTGGAATAAACCCGAAAAAGTTTTTAAAAACGCGAAGCTATTATAAAAGTGACGTAATCAAGTCTCTCAAGCTAGGGATTCCTCTGTATGTATGGCCTCCCTAAAATGGACATGCACCTATAATTGGTTCCTACATTGTAGATATATTTTTTAGCAACTACTATAATTTGCAGCCTGTCTTCTTTGAATTTCTTCGATGGATTCTTTTCTCCTCTTTAATTACGTTTGAACAACAATTCACTTATGACGAACGCTTAGTGCTGGCGCCAACGTACAGTCTTACAACTCTGACTGAATTTATGTAAACATGGCTTCAGTGAGTGTCTACAGTTCTCCCGCTTAGTATGGCCTTGGTATCAAGACTTTGACCCTCCCCACCCAGGACAATGGGTGACTGTCTGCACCTCCCCACTGAGATCTGCAGTTGTTATGACAATCTTTCTCAGCAGAGGCCTTATTCAGCTGGCTAGGGCAAAGTAAGAACGATCGAGGTACTTGCCAGTCAAAGCCTGTACTGAACACTGCCGCTTAGTGAAGGGGTTGTGTCAAAACAGCCCCCTCGCTACCCCACTAGTTTTGTCCCCCAGGCCTGATCCACGCACCCATTGTTAGGGCAGTCTCTGGGCTATCCAGCTGTACCGACCAAGACGGCAAGCCTTTGGGTTTTTGGACACCGAACTGGCCTGGAACCGGGCCGCGTCCAGCGCAAGGCGAAAACCTAGCTCGTGGCCACGTTTTAAGGAAATCAGACAGAACTGTAAAAGGAAATTAATAATGAGCCGCACTGTCAAACTGTAACCACACACCTCAAGGCTTTTGGAGTTGTTGAGGCTTTTAAAAGTAGACAAAACTCTCTTTAGCAGATGCGGATATAGCTTATGTGTTTTTGTATTTATTTTTTTTCCGTTCATTATAAACAACATTTTATTTATTTAGGAATACGACAAAATTTCCCACACGCATTGCCGCATCGGAAGCTCCTACGGTTAGAAAGACAAATTTCAATAACGGCCATTAATGGCCATACGTTTTTCCTTTGAAGATAATTTCATCGGCCGTATTTACGGCGCCTCATTTGGAACCAAAAAGTTAAAAAGCAACCCCCCCCCCCCCGCCCCGAAAAACAGCCGCGGCCCGATGCAGCCAACACCAAATCTGATCAGCAAAACCCTGCTGTTTATTGGGTTCTATCGGTTTCATGTTTACGTCTGACAAAGTTAATCTTCACGTATTACGATCAGCTTTGCAGGTTTCAATGCGTCTTCTTGATTTAACTTTAATACTAGTTTTTTGGTAATGCAAGCCGTCTACTTTCGGCCCTACTTTCGGCCCGTGGAAGTCGACGGTGGAAAACGTATTGACCAACATGAATGACGGACAGACTGGATCGTAACTACTGTTTGAAATATATCTAAAAGCGGGTTCGACAAATCCGTGCGCTCTAAAGAAATGTTATCAGAATATAATATAATTAATCCACTAAGAGGGAAATCAGGGAAATTAATCAACTAACCCTGATGCACTTGTTGCAAACATTACAAACAGGAGTTCAATACTGATTAATTGCAAAGAGTTTCTGAGCGAGAATTAAAAAAGGAGCGCTAAGTTGGCCGGCAAAAACGGCGGGAGCCATGCGGTTAATAGGGTGTGGAGGCTTCATGGCAGCTTGCGCCAAAACTCACACA